TATACCAATTACTAGTGTATTTGTGATTGAACTCCATGTCATACACCCGGTACAATGCAGGCACTGCATTTAGCACAAGCAGTTGTGACTTCAAATCAACTCTGACAAAAGCCAAACTGTGTCTGAGTCTCCCTCTCTGGCCATTCTCTGTACCTCAGTCCTGCTCTGAAAGGAGCTCTTTGATAAGGCAGCAGTCAGGAAGGATGCAGGGAAGCAGTCAAAGACATTAGGACTGTCTGTGTATATAATGTTAACTATTCTGCTTATACTTGTTATCCCCCCACCCCCCACCCACCCGCCCGCCCGCCCAAAAAGCCCCATGAGTACAAAAAGTGATCTATTAATTTGTTCCCCAGAAGCGCTATACTTTGTCGTATTTATTTATTTGTTTGTTTTTCAACCATTAGCCCTTAAAAGAGTCTCTAATCCTTTTGTCTTGCGCACTTTATTTGGTTGCCATGACAAACATGAATGTGAGCGAATCCATTTGAGACCCTTTCTAGTGCGGATTGTTAATGGATAATCTTCAGTAGGTTGATACGAGTCCTCTTGCTCTCTTTCTCTCACAGCGCTGAGCTCCTACAGCACACCGATCAAAGGCTAAATAAACATGCATCACTTGTGTCCTATCACTCCATTCCTTCAGAGTTTGCTTTCACACTCATCACTTCTTACAAGTGTCTTGCTCTAAAAGACTTGGTCAAATCAATCAAATTATTAAGAGGACTGCAGTTCACTTATGATTTAGCATCACTTAGTTTTGTTTGTTTATATAGAAATATTACAGTATACTGTACATTTCTGTTCAAAAACTCAACAGCAGTGCAAAATATGAAAAGACAATTGAGAAGAGCAGAGCGCATGTGGCAGAAGACAAAACTTGTAGTCACATCTACAAAGACAACATCCATGCTTTTACAGGAAACTTTACTGCCGTACCATGAGTGCAGCAGGCGCGATGACTACACAAACTTAGTCCCGGTCACGTTGGAAGCTGGGCACTATTGAAGTTTCCTGATTATTACGCAGGAATGAGAGTATAGTTCCTAGTCATATCAGCCTAGAAAATCGCAACTTTGCAGTTTCCGTCTGTCTTAGTGCACAATGTAACTAAGAGTCAAGTTTTAAATAGGAAAAATATCGAAACACTTTGGTAATTTTTTTGGGAGAAATGCTAACGGTCTTGTGCACTTCAATGAAGTAGGCTATGCAAAGCCATGCTAAAAGTGGTACCGCCAGAACCGGAGATCGGCTGAATGGATTCAAAAAAGGTATAAATCAACAGTTTAACTCTGGGGGAGTTGTAAAATGAGTGTATTTCCCTTTAATACTGCTCTGACTGGAAGAAATTTTGAAGGAGAGCGGGAGAGTCTTCATAGTGAGATGATATTCACTAATGATTGCACGCATGAGATTGACAATCGACTACTGTGGGCTTCGATCGAAAACAGGGAGCAAATAGAGGTATGTGAGCTGGCTGAATTGACATCATTTTTATTCATATATTTCACAACTGCAGTCAGATTGACCGACAAAATTAGCTTAATGCTAAAATTGACCGGAGTTCTCCTTTAAAACAGGGTTTTCAAACATTCAGTTATGAAATATGAACATATGGACATGTGTGTATTCATGTTGGATTCTTGGAAAACACCATTAGATCACTTTGTGAAACTGACCAGTGCAGAAACTGTATAACTAACTGTGAAACTGTATAAACGGTTGCAGTCCCTTACCAATAAATGTCACCACACCTTTTTCTTTTCAATCACACTTCCTTCACTGAAGTCATCCCTTGCAATGAAAACATCATCAGGTCATATATTACCACTGAGCACACAGTTTTCCTTTCTTGCCTTTCAGATGCTCTCTCTATCTATTGACATCTCTCTCTTTCATTGCTCCTTTATTTCTCATCTTCTCTTGCTGTTTGATCTCATAATCTGAAAGAGTCATTTATATTATAAATTTTCTGATCAAATAGTGAAGTAGTTAACTGTACATTTTGGTAACACTTTAGTTTAAGGTCCAATTCTCACTATTAACTAGTTGCTTATTAGCATGCATTTAACTGGGATATTATCTGTGTAGTACTTATAAAGCACATACTAATGCATTATTCTGCATGAATTTATTCTACATCCCTTAATCCCACCTAATACCTAAACTTAACAACCACCTTACTTACTACTATTAAGTCGTTTCAGTTTATTGAGGCAAATATTTAGCTAATAGTGAGAATTGGACCCTAATCTAAAGTGTGACATTTTTTTTTTGGATGTATCACTTCTTCACACTGAAATCTTGACAAAACATCATCTTTTCTCACATCACACTTCTGCTGTAATTTAAGACATGTCCAGATCCTGCAGTTCTTCTTCCAGTGACCAGCACTTTGGGTAGAAATGTCAGCTGTCTAGTATGAGCCATAGAGATGATTTTCCCCCACACAGGACCCTTAATTCAATCAAAGGACTGGATCAATAGACACATGCTCAAAAACGCAACAGGCCAATAACAAACTATTTCTGGACAGGTGGAGGGGGAGGATCGGGGGAACTTTAATGCCAGCCAGGGGGAACAAAGATATGAAATATAATATAACAATATGACATACACTCAAAGTCAAAGACACATACGAGAAGGAATAACAAGATAATTGTATTCTTAAATGATCTTGATAATTTTACCTTAAATTACTATATCTAAAATTATTCTTTGTAGCACCTCAATTCAATAACAGAATGTTTATGTGTGAGTTATCCCCTAAAAATTCCATTCCTCTTCAATGGCTGTGCAAAGTTTCTGGATATTGGAAAAACCTGGAACCCGCTGTTGTACGCCGATCCAGAGCATCCAAAACACGTTCATTCATGCTGACTGCAGGAATGTCTACCAGAGCTGTTGCCCATGAATTGAATGTTCAATTCTCTACCATAAGCCGTCTCCAAAGGTGTTTCAAAGAATTTGGCAGTACACCCAACTAGAGGGCCAGAGGGATCGTTCTGCCTCTACCTAAGCTCCACCCACAAAAAAACGTCACCATGTTTACCAACTGAAAAGAGGTCTATAATCATGCTGTCTAATCAGCATCTTGATATGCCACACCTGTGAGGTGGAAAGATTATCTCTGCAAAGGAGAAGTGCTCACTAACACAGATTTAGACAGATTTGTGAATAATATTTGAGAGAAATAGTCATTTTGTGTACATGGAAAAAGTCTTAGATCTTTGAGTTCAGCTCATGAAAAATGGGGGCAAAAACAAAGTGTTGCCCTTATAATTTTGTTCAGTGTAATTATGATCATTGTAGTAATCATTCTCACAACCTGACCATGGCTGGGTGGTGTAAATGTGTAAATGATGTGCTTTTTAAATGTATTTGTCTGAGATCAGAAAACAGTAGAAATACAGATTTTGCTGCGAAGTGGTCTTTTTGAATTTAGGAGAATGTTTTCAGTTCTTAAAAGTAGAGCCAGACCGATTTATCGGCAGACCGATATTATTGGCCGATATTAGGCATTTTCCAAACTATCGGTATCGGCAGTTATAATGGCCGATAAATGAATATTTCAAAAATAAAAACGGATGAAACACGCTTCAACCATGTCATGAGTGTTGGAGTTGTATAGTTTGTCCACCAGAGGGCACTCTACACCGTCCCTGTTGTCAACACTCGTTGAGTTGATCACGAGACATACATTGATTGAATAACAATTAAAAGAACATCCCCATCAGTTCTCTTAACTCAAATAAACATGACAAAATTTGTGACTAGCATGTCCAGTTTTGCTGCTGTTAAATAAGCTGAGAGTGAAACGGAATTATCTAGTAATAATTACGTTACGTTGTTACGGTGTACTTTACTGACTGTCCTTTTAATTTTTGACAATGTGACTGAAGTATTTCTTTAATAGCGCGTGACAGTTATAGCAATAAGACTTATCATCTCTCCTTGGCCTGTTGTATTGAAAATGTATGTTTTACACTTTGCATTATAACGTTATCCATTGTTAAATTATAATAGACATAGACTAGCTAACCACAAAGCTAGCTAATGCCACTATCATCAGTCTGTTCTGTTGTTACAATAAAATAAACTAGTTTCTTTTTAAAATGCATTATATTGTTTTAGTTAAAACTCATAAATAACTACAAATAACTAATAAAAATAACTATAATATTAGGGAAATCTGTTAATGTTTTGTAGCGCATTTCTGTAAGAAAAAAAATATCGTCCGATATATATCGGAATATCGTATTTTAAAACCAACAAATATTTGTATCGGTATCGGCCTTCAAAATCATTTATCGTTTGGGCTCTACTTAAAAGGACAATGTTGTCAGTGTTGTTATCTTCATATATATATATATATATATATGTGTGTGTGTGTGTGTGTGTGTGTGTCAAACATCAAATCTTAATGTTTCCTGTGAGCTTTTATGATGACATTTTATTTTTCCTAGTGTATTCTTTTTCTCCTTTTATATTTTCCTGTGTTGTCCCCTCCTCTCCTCTCAGTTACCTTTCTTCCTTTCCCCTGGCTATATCGTTGTGACACAGAGAGGGAGAAGAGAGGATGGGTGTGTGTGTGTGTGTGTGTGTGTGTGTGTGGCAGGGGAGGTTACTCAGTATAAAACCCTCAGTCTGAGAAAACGCCTCTGCAAACATACCCTGTCTCTCTTCTATATCTGCTTCTCTCGCTCTCTCGCTCTCTCACTCTCACGCGCGCGTTCCCACTGTCCTTCACTCCCATGCAAACACTCGCTCAATTCATCCTCTCTACCTCTTTGCCGCCTCTACCATCCCTCATTCTCTTCATTACTTAGTGCAACTCTGTCCACCAGACAATGGGATCGACTTTTTGGGAGCGCGTGTGACCACGTTTGCATGCATGCGCGTGCGTGTGTGAGAGTGTGTATGTGTGTGAGTGAGATTGAGCGGATGTGGAATCTGTGTGAAAGATCTATCCAGCCTGCCCAACGGATCCAGTGAGCCAGCTTAACAAACCAGGCGTGCAAGGAGATAGGGAAGCGTGTGAGAGCGTGTGCATGTGGGTCTCTTTCACCCTCACGTGCTCCTCTACACATTTGGGATCCTAGGGCTTGGCACCTTTCCCCTGGGACCCCCCTGCACCCCTCTGTCTTTCTCTCTCTTTCCGCGGTCTCCTCTTCTCCAGCAGTCACCATTTCGGCTCCCGGCAGACCCACGCTGGCTGCCCAGCCACTCCCGCGCCTCAGCCTGGGCAGGAAGACCCTGGTAGCGGCCGCTGTAGGGGTCATGCTGGTGCTGGTGCTGGTGGTGCTCATCCCTGTGCTGGTCAGCTCCGTGAGCAATGACAACAGCCACTACGAGATGCTGGGCACCTGTCGAATGGTGTGCGACCCGTACCAGAACAAGGGCACAACCACGGGCATCACCAGCACCGGCTCTTCTGTGCAGGCCGAGGCCGAGGCTCTGGCCGACCACAGCAACATGCCTCCACCGTCCACGCTCCTCCAGGGGCCACAGGGGAAGCCGGGCCGGCCAGGCAAACCCGGACCTCCGGGGCCACCAGGGGAGCCAGGGCCCCCGGGTCCGATGGGGCCCCCGGGGAACCGGGAGGACAGTGGCCGAAACGGGGTTCTGAGTCTTGACAAGGATGGAGCTATCAGCACAGTTACATACAACACGCACCCACGGGTGGCTTTCTACGCGGGACTGAAAAACCCTCACGAGGGCTATGAGATCCTCAAGTTTGACGATGTGGTCACCAACCTCGGCAACAATTATGATGGCACTTCGGGCAAGTTCATCTGCAGCGCTCCGGGCACGTATTTCTTCATCTACCACGTCCTGATGAGGGGAGGTGACGGCACCAGCATGTGGGCTGACCTGTGCAAAAACGGACAGGTGAGTGCTAATATCTCATGAGTTATTTGTGACCTTTTTTTTTTTTTGAAAAGCTATCACATGATCATGATATATTATATATATATATATATATTTATATTCTCATTGACATAAGTTAATATTTTATTTTAATTTTGCATTTTTATATACACTTTTTTCTGTTAATTTTACTTTTTTCTGATCTTTTTCAAGTATTCTTTCTAAAATCGTGTTGCATATCAATCGCATTTCTTCATCTCGTGTTACAAGAATGTGCTGGTGGTTTGAGCTGGTATTCACAGAGCGGATTTAAAATTAATTAAGCTGTTAATAATGACCCCACAGAGGACAAGAAATACTCTCGTTTCTCTCTCTTTTTTTTCTTTGTGCTTCGTGTGAAACTGGTGGGAGACACAGTAACATCTGCTGTGAGTTCCTCGTCCCCCCAGAGCACGCGGGTGAAGTTCGCACAGCTGCGGCGCCACACACCCGGCGAGAAGAATGCGCTAAATGTGCGCTGACATTGTGCTCGTGTCCCCGTTAACAGAGGACAGAGATTCTATCTCTCTCTCTTTTGAGGAATTGTCATGGGACACTTAAAAGTTTGCCAAGCCAAACTTTTTTATTAAGTGCTGAGTGTGTGTTTAAAACTCATAATTATAGCTTATATCTTTTAAAAAAATTAGGAGAATATATTTTGTTCAGTAATTTGGTGTTACAGTTGGTGTTATCAATTGTATCAATGCTATCACTACATTTTAGGGAAAAATGTATAGGCTGCTCGAATCAGTTTAGCCTACACTAAAGCCATAAAATCAATTTCCATTTCCATTTTTCCGCACACTTTTCCGCACCTAGCATGGAAACGTCCATTTAATGGTATTTTACTCTTTCTTTTTTCTATCTGTCCTTTGCGCTCTCTCTCTCTCTCTCTCTCTCTCTCTCTGTGTGTGTGTGTGTGTCTTTCCCTCTATTCAAAGCTTTTGTTGTTTGCGCTATTTAATGATCAAATGTGGAGTTGCAGCCTATACGAGATACAGTGGCACAGTGACAGGTCAAAAAGTGCACAAATAGACACAAATATAGACAGAAGTGGACGTGCGATGTTTAATGATCTGGGATATTTATTAAGGTTTTGTCGACAGGGTTGTAATTCCTGAAACAGTATTTATTTGAAGACCGTTATATATTCATTCTGTTGGAGTAGTTTGGCACGCACGACTAACTCTCAAGAGGGTGAAAACCGCACGTGCAATGTCGTCCATGCGCAACGGGGGTGAAGGATGGAACAGACGTTTGAGTCTATTCGGGATCTAGTGAAGAAGAATTCACATTTTCAAATAGTTCTTCTGAAATATTACATCGTTTCAGAAGTGTACAAAGACACCACAAGGCCAGTTTTGACTTTAAAAATAAAACTGTCCTGTAGCCCAGGCAAGACAACAGACAGAATCTTTCATAAAAATAGCCTAGCCTACTTAATCACACTTATTTAAATGTTGGTTAATTTCAGGCACTGCAATGGTTAAATTAAATATTTAAATACTTTATTTGTCAAAGCGTTTATCTGTTCTGATGTGTCCTTATATATTGTGCGCTTTAGTGCTTATAAACTGTCTGGCACCAATATACTGCGTTATAATGTGCGTGTTTTAGCCTGTACATAAACCACCAATTAATAATAAAAAAAAAAAAGGCTTTTTGAGTTACAATCTGTGAGTTCACAACGATCAGCCTACTGGATGATCACAGAATACACTTCAAATTTACGCTTCAAACTCTTTAATTTGCGCATGTATTTCAGTTAATAGAAACAACTTACATGTCTCCCATTTTCCTTGATTCAACAGACGTGACCCATGAAGTGAATTTGTCAAAATGTATTTTTAACTCTTTAGCTAGAACTGCACCTGGAATTAAAAATAGGGTGAGGGACTTGAGAGCATAACCTGGAGGGCGCGTGCATGTGTTTTAGTCTTTCTGTGGCCCGGTCCGGAGGTCAGCGCGCGCAGGACTCAGCGTTGCGCAGCAACCGGAGCTTTTGCGAGACCGCTGATATTTCTGTTCAGATAAATACAATTACCGAGGGTTATCCGACTCCTGAAAATCCAGCAGCCACTCGTAGAGCATATAGTTCAACTTCCATAAAGAAGTTGTCACAGAAGAAAGAATGCCAGACTTTTAAAAGCTGGCCCTGAGGGTAAACAGGAAAATGAAAGAGATACTAAAATAAAGCGATAACACTGTAATATCTGGAATTGAAATATGTTTCTTTTTTGTTTCCAACATGTCTTAAACTCTCTCTCCCTCCTCTGCTCATGTGTGTCTCACTACCCCTCCCTTTCTATCTCTTTTTAAACCTTATAAATGTAATCATGTTCTTCTTCATTAGATCAAACTAGGCCGGTTGCTGAGACAGAGTTCTTATAAGCGCTGCCTGTCTTTTATACTCTAGCTGCCATATGAATTTAACTCATCTAGTCCCTTGGTGCCATGATAATCTCTTCCTCTTAATTAAGATGAACACTTGCTTCTGTCACAAACACATATTCAATCTGATTACTTGTGCCTTAATCTGAACACAGACCTACCAGTCAACCACAGTGAAATGCACTCCTTGCAAGACACCAAAAAAACAGCATTTGGGAAGATTGCAAGTTAGCAGACAAACTTTTTAGCAGAGACGTTTACAAAAGTCTCTACTTCTCTGTTGTGCATGCAGCTGAAAAGTTGTCTGCTAACTTGCAATTGTCCCAGCTTAGTGCTGTTTTGGGTTTCTTTGTTTTTCCAGTGTCCTAACTAGATTGCCTAAGCAAAACCCATAAAAGAAGTACACTAATGGCCAAGGCAAGAACAGGCAAAAACTGCTGGGAGCACAGTACAGCATTAATGGAGTGTGTGAAGGAAGAGCATTGGGAGAGCATATGTTGTCGTAAAGCACCGTCTGTTGAACACAATGGGTCCTGATCTCTAGAGACCCTCCTCACAGACACTTTAGGCAGACATGGGAGAAAAGCCTTCCTCCTGAGAGCAAGCTAATCTTTATAAAGTGGTTACCGCCTCACTAATTAAACCGCTATTCCAGATCAGAGCAATTGCAGCAGTGTGAGTGTGTGAATGGGCATACAGGACCTCAGGCGAGCTGCCGCTGAATTAGCTGCCTCACATCGTTGCCGAACAGTTTAAAAGAAACATTCACTATTTAACTTTATTGTATCCCTCTGAATGTATGTGAACGCATTATAGTGTTTCTCAAGGGCAGTGATGGAGTGCTAACAGACTTTCAGTTAGTCTGCTGTATCCCTGTGGACTTACTCTATTCTTCAAGTGGCCACTGACCATACCACTATACAAACCCACACAGCTGGTGTGCAAGATGTGTACGTGAGTGTATAAGAAAGAAAAAAAAATTCTGGTGAGACTGCATTCTGTGTGAAAAATTTTAGCGTTATAAGTATTTATATTTAATGGATTTCAGCTTTAATACACATGCTCGTTCTTTTCATTAATTCCTACTCCTCTTTCCAAGCTCCTTCTGTTTATTCCTTGCCATTAATTTTTTTTCTTAATTTGCCAAATACCACCCCCCCCCCCCCCCCCAACCTCTCGAAAAAAAAAAAATCACATTTCTGCCAGATGGACATGTATAAATGGCTGCGAGTTCCTTTTGAAACTCCACTGGCTTTGCAAGGAATTCCACTTCAAATGTGATAAAGGAGTAAAAAAAAAAAAAAAAAAAAATGAAAGACTGGGAAAAGAAAAGGCGTTTGTATAGAGCCAGGGTTTTTGAATCGTAATTAAAAACTTTGAACCACATCCAGATTGTGCTGGCACCTGTCCTCATGTTCCTTCTGTTGATATTGTCATTAATCCACCCAAACCCATTCTGACTTCATTATAAGCAAATGCATCCAGGCACTCTTTTTGTTTCTCAAGAGACTCCTTTGGGATAATCTTGCTTTCTCAGACCACACTCCAATGAACACATTCATGCATGCGCAGGTATCTGAAGATTCACCTGTTTGGTTTCAAGCTTAATAACAGTAGCTACAGTAAAGGGATACTTTACCCTAAAATAATAATTTCTCTCATAATTTACTCTTCTCTTACTAATTTACGCATTCTTTCGCCTTGCACATAAGAAGTTACTTTGAAGAACTGTTTTCAGCCATACAGTATAATGAAAATTAGTGGGGTCCAAAACAACATTGGACCCCACTGACTTCAACTGTACAGACAATAATATTTTTCAAAATATATTATTTTGTGTTCAACAGCTGAAAGGAAGTAATAAAGGTTTAGAAAGACATGAAAGACATGAGGGTGAGTAAATCATGACGATTGCGATGATTTTCATTTTTGGATGAACCATTCCTTTAATAATGATTCATAACGTTCACTCAGTTCTTCTTTAAAGGACAAGTTCGGTATTTTACACTTGCGGGGTCTAATAGGACAGTGTCCGTCAGCAGTCGTGGGCGGGTTCCTGTGCAATGTGTTGTCACAAAAGCTAGAATCTGCAAACAGCTTGTTCTGAGACACTGCTTATGATTTATGGGGATAAAAAAAGAGAAGTGCGGATAGATTTTTATCACTGTATACTGTGGCGACAAACATTTATGTTCAAACACCACGTAAAAGTGAATTTTGCATAATAGGTCCCCTTTTTAGATTTCTTTGGGCATTTCTTAAAGGCAATTGTTTTTACATGCATACAATGTGTTAATATGACTAGGAGAAATATGAGTTATATATGTGTACAACATGTGTGTAGAGGGAAAAAGCACACTTCACCATCTGGACCAGCAAAAATGTGTTTTTAATTAGAGTTGAGTGTTCAGTTATTAGATTCAAACAAATTACTCATGTTTAATTACACAGCGTACATAAATGCAAGTGTTGTTCATTGGTATTTGGATGAGGAGAGAGACAAGCAACACACTGCTAGAGGGAAAACATCCCCCGAATCAATACTATTTTTGCATGAAACAGGAAAAAAAAAAAACATCCAGTATAGCTTG